TAGCATTTGTACTTATAGGGTATGTACCAGGTACTTATAGCCCTTGTACTTATAGGTATGTACCAGGTACTTATAGCATATGTACCTTGTACTTATAGGGTATGTATTGGGTACTACAGGGCATGTACCTGGTACCTACAGAGTATGTAGCTGGTTCTTACATTTACACAGTTTTAGGATCAACATAGTTATTTATATTTACAGTCAGAACAAACAGCTCTTTAAGAAAAAAAGTNACGTTCTAACCGGAACAACGCACACGTTCTAACCGGAACAACACACACGTTCTAACCGGAACAACACATACGTTCTAACCGGAACAACACACACGTTCTAACCGGAACAACACACACGTTCTAACCGGAACAACGCACACGTTCTAACCGGAACAACGCACACGTTCTAACCGGAACAACACACACGTTCTAACCGGAACAACACACACGTTCTAACCGGAACAACACACATGTTCTAACCGGACCAACACACATGTTCTAATTGGAACAACACACATGTTCTAATTGGAACAACACACGTTCTAACCGAAGCAACACACATGTTCTAACCGGAACAACACACATGTTCTAAGTGTACTGCTTTGATTTGATTGGCAGCCAGTAAAACTTCAGAACACTGGTAGTCAAGTATTTTACAGCATCGATGATTCACACTGAAAGATGGGCCGGGCCCGCAGCACCCGGTACACCAACAATATTCAAAACGCTGATAATAAATAAAGATTAAGTACTACTTAACGACTACATACTCCTGAGACAATACTGCCACTGTAATACTGATACAGAGAGTACACAAAAAAAAAACTCCAGCTCGTTTCAAAAACAAAAACTACAGCATGCAAAACAACCGAAGCAACAGCAGGACGACCACACACTGAAATATAACACCTAGTATTTTTGTTTTAAGATATGTATCAACATGTGCTGAAGAAGGGCCAGCTCTTCTGAAACTTGGTGCTTCACATGGGGGGCGGGGCTTAACACAGCGAGTCAGGAAACAAACAAAAAGAGGAGAAAGTATCATTCTAAAGTTATCATTAAAGCGTTAAAGCCCAGATTAAAGTGTCGATTTTACTGGCAGAAAACACCGTTGCAGGTTTCTGCGGCTTGTTTTAGCAGCCGATGATGCTGAYCGAGCTAACCGCGGCGTCGGCTGTGAGTGCAGACATGTTGTTTTTGTTTATCAAGAGCTAGGACAGACAGACGTCACATTGTGCGGTTTCTGAAAGGACGGGCCCCGCGGCTGGTTCAGAGTCTGCTGCCGGTCTCAGTGGGCCGCCCGGGTCCTGCTGGGACCCTCAGCCGGCTCACCGGGACCAGGGTCCTCAGTCTGAGCCGAGGTGGTCTCTGAGCCCGTGTTGCTGTCACTGGTTCCCTCCTCCAGGACCCCCTCCGGGACGCTCTCCTTGTCCTCGGACGCCGCCTCGTCACTTCCTGGATGAACATCGAGCTCCTCGGAGGCCTTCAGCTTCCCTGGATTAAAAATAATAATCTGATTATTTATTGTTGAAATGAACCGATCGGAGGATCAGGATCTAGGATTAACACTAAAACTGAACCAATCAGAGGATCAGGATCCAGGATTTACACTAAAACTGAACCAATCAGAGGATCAGGATCCAGGATTAACACTAAAACTGAACCAATCAGAGGATCAGGAATGGGTTGAAAGTATTTTTTTACACGACTGTAAAATTTACTTTGTAAAACAAATTCTACTGTACTAAAAAAACACACACAACTACTAACACATACTGTACAACTACTACTGCTACAACCTTTATAACCAGTATTAATACTACTACTACTACTACTACTACTACTACTACTACTACAGCCTTTATGACCAGTATTACTTCTACTACTTCTACTACTACTACTACTACTACTACTACTACTAAAACTACCTATCAACCAGTACAAATAGTAATACTACTACAACTATTACTACTAATACTACTATTACAACCTGTATGACATGTAGTAATACTACTACTACTTTTTTCAATTTTACTACTACTACCTTCACTACTACTACCACAATTACTTTCACTTATACTACTACTACTACTGTTACTACTACCATTACTATTACTACTACTACTACTACTACTACTACTACTACTACTACTACTACTACTACTACTACTACTACTACTACTACTACTACTACTACGACCACAAATGTTTTTTATATATATTTTCTGTGTATTTAGTGATCTTTTTTGTATTTGTTGTTTAGTTTTAAATAAAAAGTGTGTTTGTTGTCTATAAAGACAATATTTAAAATCTTTTGAGGTGGGGTTCTGTTGAAAGTGCCTGGACTGTAAATATCTTACCTGCTGCAGGTAGCTATTTAACATCTTCAGTTTAAACGGTTAGCTGTTAGCATAATATCAGGTTTAAATAAAATAAAAGTTGACGGATGTGTTGAAGTTTCAAAATGATGGCCCTGTTAGGACTAGCCATTAGCTCATCAGTCCTGTCAGAAATAAACTTCACTCCTGCAAACTGAGGTTGTTCCAAGGGACATCTGCAACAGGTGAGATGTTAACTGYTAGAACTTTTCTAAATCACACTGGAGGCCTCGTCTGTATTTGGACCTGGAGCAGCAGGAAGTTACAGACTGAGAACAGGAAGTAAAAGGTCTCTGTGGACACAGGAAGTCACATGACTCCACAGAGACTCACCTGGAGTGTCGGCACTGTTCRACCCGGCGTCTTCTCCCTCCTTGTTGCTGCTTTCGTTCTGAGGGTTCGGCTGAGACTTCTTGCCGTGCGTGGAACAAACGTGTTTGTCCTCCTCGGCCAGGACGCACGCCGGCGCATCTTTAGCTCCTCGGTCCCCCGAGTCCTTGTCCCGCTCGGCCATCCGTTTACGCGCCGCCTCTTCAGCTGCGTTGATCTCTGCAGAAATCTTCTCCATGTCCACCTCCACCTTCATGCAGCACAGCTGAAGACACAAACTGAAACTTTAGCCTTTTCTGCTGCTGTGGGAGAGAAAAGCTGAAGGCTGTTGAAGCAGCTGAACCTGAAACCACCAGAACAAATAAAATTAGAAAAAGCTAAAAGCTAACAAAGCATTAGCTAAAACCTAACAATAACAATAGGAAAAACAAGAACAATAGCTAAAAGCTAAAATCAGCATTACTGTAGATAAAGGCTAAAACCTACTACACACTGGCTGAATGCTAAATTGATCAAAACTGTAGCTAAAACAAACAGAAACAAGAGAACATTTGATAAAAGCTAAAATCAGCAAAACAGTACCAAGGTAAAACTAGCAACACACTATCTGAAAGCTAAATGATCCAAGTAGATAAAAATAAGCTGAAATATTAGCTAAAACCTGAACTCAGCAGTAGCTAAAGGCTAAAACCAGTAAAACACTAGCTAAACTATAAAACTAGCAAACTAGAAGCTCAAAATAATGACAAAAATAGTAGCTGAAAGCTAAATCTAGAAAAATGCTAAAAAAATAAAACTATGAAAATAGTAGCAAAAACTACATTTATCAAAATAACAGGTAAAGGTTAAAAATGCTAAACACTACCTTAATTATAGAACTATCCCTTTATTATATAAAAACAATTTCTCTAAAAACAGTAGCTACAGGCTACAACTAGTCCACATTAGCTACAGTCAATAACTAACTAAAGCCTGAATTTATTAAAACAGCAGCTAAAGCAGAGTTTAAACAGCAGAAAGTTTTCTAGTAACCTGAAAAGATCTAAATGTATATTCCTTAATTTAAATATTTGAAAAAGGGTTTTAAAAGCCACGGCTGTGATGTTCTGAACGAGCTGAATGATTTGTGAAGGGTTAAAGTAGCTGAATTTGAGCTGCTGTAGTTATTCTGAAACACAAACAGAAGAAACTCCAAGCAGGAAAACAACACAGTGAACGCTGACTGAACATTCATTTTCTTACATTTATCTCTGATCAAACCTGTGCAGTTGAGTAAAATGTTCTTAGAGAACCTGAGGAAGTTCGGCTCAGAGGTTCGGCTGCTGTTTCTCAGTGAATAGCTGCAGGATGAGTGAGGATACATGGCGCCCCCTGCTGTAAAGACGCGGCGCTGCGCTCAGCTCTGACAGAGGCCATAAATAATGGCAGATGACAGCTCAGCGGTTCTCCAGCATATGGTTGCAGTTAGCTGCAGCTGGTGGCCCGAGCTGCACGCCACATGTGAGCCGAAGCTCGCGTGCAAGAGAGCAATGACCCAAGCTGATGGAAAAGATGGCGTACCCGTTTGAGCTCGCTGTTGAAGGACTCTGTGGCTTCGATGAACTTTCTCTTCTTGTCCTGGTGCCGGTCTTCGATCTGCAGCAGCTCCGCCTCTAGTTTTCTCTGCGACACAAGACACAGAGTCGATCGAACTCATTAACACCAACGAGCCGAAGCCACGGGAGCCGGGGCGCTCGAGGTCCGAGCTCACCTGGTGCACCATGAGGGACTGGACCTGGCGYTTCAGGACCTGCATGCGGGCCGTGGTGACGACGGAGCGCACGTCCGGGACCACGCTCTCGCTCAGGATCTCACTGATCAGACGGTGGTTCCTCTGGAAACGAGAAGCGGCCGAATGTTTCACTGAAAAACCGTCGTCGAACTCTGAGGACAGGAAAGAGATCTGAGAAGATGCTGGATTAACACACACGCACGCACACACGCACACACACACACACACACACACACACACACGCACACGCACACGCGTTAAAGAAAAGAAGCTTCTCTTTTGTTGAATAAATCAAAATGTCACAAACTACAATAAAAAAAGTTTGATTACAGACAAAGCACTTCTTTAAGGAACTCTTTTTACCCACTGCATCTAATCCACTGCATCTAGTCCACTGCATCTAATCCACTGCATCTAATCCACTGCATCTAATCCACTGCATCTAA